ACTTCCAAATGAGTGATGAGAGGGAGCCAGGTTGAAATTATCCTTGCGATGACCTAGCCGCAGGAGTCATGTAGCAGTATTTGCATCACATTCCATAGTCAGAGGCAAGTCACAAAAACCAGTTCACTTTCAAGGGAAAGATAATTAGTTTCCATCTTTTGAAGGGAAGATTGTCAGAGAATTTGGGGGCATACTTTAAGATCACCACAGTTGCCTAATTGATCCATTTCCCTACATTCTCACCCTAATCTTGACCCTGATGATCTTTCCAATCCTATGACAAGAAAGAAGCTGGAAGCTGAGGCAGGGGGATTGCTTGAGCCTAGGAGCTTGAGGCTGCAGTGAACTATGATGGCATGACTGCACTCCAGCCTGGGTGACAGAGCAATATCCCATGTTAAAAGAAGAAGAGGAGAAGGAAGGGAGGGAGGGAGGGAAGGAGGGAAGGAAGGGAGGAAGGGAGGGAGGGAGGGAAGGAGGGAAGGAAGGGAGGAGGAGAGAGAGAGAAAGAAAAGAAAAAAAAAAGAAAAGAAGAGAAGGAAGCTGACTGGAAAAGATGAACACAAGGAAATGAGTGTCAAAATGAAGACAGAAGTTCCTCTTTGAGCCAAGAACGGACCTGGTCCAAACTGCCCCTCCCTGGCTTTCTAAAGCACTTCTTACCACACCTTAGAGCCCAAGAGATCATGTTTGTGAGGCCCTCCATGGCAAGCAGCAAGAATGGAATCTTCATAATTCAGAAAGAAAATGAGTGTATTGGAAAGTTGCAGGGATGTTAACAAAATCAAAGCGAAAGATTCTTCTTTTTCTTCTCTCTGCTTATCTGTTTTCTCAATAGTGAACTTATATTCCTGTTACAAGAAAAAACAATAAAAAGGTTTTTTAAAGGACTCCGAAATTATTAGGTTAAAAGAGAAACTCGAATTATATGGTGCTTTCAAGAGACAAATCTAAAACAAAACCCATTTTTAACTTTGAAAAGTTAAAAATAAATGTTATAAAAAAGAAAAGTCAAGATTTATCAGGCAAACGCAAAAGGGCAAGAATAACAAAATTAGTTTCAGACTACATAGAATTCAAGGCATTAAAATGGAACAGAGAGATTCATTTTATATTGAAGAAAAGTAGAGTCCTCAGTGAAGATAGAAGAGATATAGCAGGTAGCCCCATAGCCATTAAACATGTTTTATCTCTAGTAAGAGGTGTCAGAGAATCCCTGGGGTTCCTTTAAAAGGATAATTCCTATTGAGTTATAAAAAGTGATGGGATAAAATAAAATTATAAGTGTACTTCATAGTCTCTTAGTAAAATTCAGACTTGAGTTAAAAAGGTATGTAAGAAATACAGGCCTCTGAAAAGAGGGAACAAAATAGGATTATTCCTATTGAATCATAAAAGGTGATGGGGTAAAATAAAATTATAAGTAGGTTTCACAGACTTTTAGTAAAATACAGACTTGAGTTAAAAAGGTACATAAGAAAAACCGGCTTCTGAAAAGTGGGGACGAAACAGGACAGGGAAGAAAAAACATGGAATCGGCAGTTGGCTGTCTGCAAAGGGCACCTCCCACTCCCATGTCATGATGGCCTGGGAATGGAAGGAACCAGAAGCACCATCCGAACAGGGCTGGAGTTGGCTGCACCTACCACTGCCCTGAGGGAGTATCTGACTGTGTACCTGGAGTGGTAATAAGGAATTCAGGTTTCGGACACATTAAAGCAGAAAAAGACTCAGTCTCCTAGTGCCCGGGAGGAGCCAGAATAGGACATCGGGATTCTGGGGTCACAACAGTTAGAGATGCTTCATCTGGGACCCAGGGGTAGAATTTGGGTAAACTTGGATGGAAAAACTCTACTCTTTTGTTTTCACTTTTCTCTAACTGAAATTGGGCATTTCCTTCATTTAATGATGGAAGCAACAAGCCACAGGAGTGATAGCAGAATTCATGGCTATAACTAAAAGAAATCCCAGAGTTTCAAGTCACATGATAGCTGATGCAGATACCTCAAAATGCCACCTCCATTCAGATGGGACTTAAAAATCACAGTCACCTGGCTGCTAGATATGGTTATTTAGTACTTTAATAACGATGAACATTTATTATTATGTCATCAATTTTTTTTGAGACGGGGTCTTGCTCTGTTGCCCAGGCTGGAGTGCAATGGAGCAAGCTTGGCTTGCTGCAACCTCCACCTCCCAGGTTCAAGCGATTCTCCCACTCACCTCAGCCTCCCAAGTAGTGGTGTGAGCCACCACTCCTGGCTCATTTTTGTATTTTTAGTAGAGGCAGGGTTTCATTATGTTGGCCAGCTTGGTCTTGAACTCCTAGCCTCAAGTGATCTGCCCACCTTGGCCTCCCAAAGTGCTAGGATTACAGGCATGAGCCACCACGATTGATGAGCTCACCAAATTGATAAGCACACCAGTCCATCAATTTGGTTTTTGTAAAAGTATTTTGATAACTGTTTTTCAGTGTAATTGATTTCCTTTGCATTTCTAAATGTTTTATTTTTTAAAGGTAAAATTCTGAAAAGTTTCCATAAGCTTCACCAGATTGTCAAAGGGATCTGTGATCCAGAGGAGACTGAGACCCCTGATGATTAGATGCCTTGCCCTCTCCCCACTGCCCCTCAAGCCCCTTAAAGAAGGGAGTAGAGCCAGAGGGCACCAGAACACCTCACCCCACCCCTCCGCACCTCCAGGAGGAGTGATGGAAATATAAAATATGCGGTTTTGTGGAATTTGTTAATTCAGTCTTTTTTTTTCTTTTTTTCTTGCTTTCTCACTCTCCTTTCCTGCCCCCACTCCCTTCATATCACAGTCACTCCAAAGTGACCCATGCTGAGACTACTTAATATGTAATCATCCACATTTGGATCCGTGTTCTTATTTTAATATTCAAACATTAATTTGCATATATGCATACATTTATGTGTTGACATATATACATATACATAGGGATTTTCCAGCCTTTTCCCATGCATAAAAGAAGCATCATAAATAAATGGAGAAGAGATGGATTTTCTCAGATAGTATATACTCAATAGTTTTATATTAATATATTGCTGAAAACTGGTATCACAAGACATATGCCATTCAAAATGCTGTTTTCTTCTCATTAGTGTCATATTGTATTTTTTCTACAGTATTGAATTCTATTTAAAAACTGTTTCTAATGACTGCATATATGTCACATAAAAATGCAACCAAACATATTTAATCATCTCCCCATTAGACATTAACGTTTTCCAATTTTTTCTTAAAAATGCTATGATGGGACAGGCGCAGTGGTTCATGCCTGTAATCCCAGCACTTTGGGAGGCTGAGGTGGGCAGATCACTTGAGGTCAGGAGTTTGAGACCAGCCTGGCCAACATGGTGAAACCTCATCTCTACTAAAAATATAAAAATTAGCCAGGCATGGTGGTGCATGTCTGTAATCCCAGCTACTCAGGAAGCTGAGGCAAGAGAATCACTTGAACCTGGGAGGCAGAGGTTGCAGTGGTCCGAGATCACACCATTGCACTTGAGCCTGGGCAACAGAGTGAGACTCCATCTCAAAAAAAAAAAAATACCTGTTTTGAACTACATGAAATAATCCTTGCATTATATATTAGGTTGAACTCTATAAAATTGATGTCTTTATAGGTCAAAACTATATTATCAATTTCATATGAGTCAATTAATTAATATTAACATTATTCCTGGAGTTATGTTTTCTCTACCACTTTTCCATCAGCCCCTAGTTCAGATTCATATGGTTCTATTGAGTATAGCTTTGTAATATGTTTTAATCTGGTATAAGTTTGCCTTCATTTTAAATAAAATGTTCTTACTTATTTTTTTCTTCCAGGGTAACACAAGAGAAATTCAGAATTATTTCATTAATTTCCCATGAAAGTCCCATTAAGACATTTCATTAAAACTATTTTAAAATTACAAATAATATATAAAAGAATTTATATTGTTATTTTTTGAAATTTCCTAACCAGGACCATAATTTGATGTTTTACTTATTATATATATATTTTTTCAATCTAGTTTCTCAGTGAAACTTTTCATTAAAAAAGAATTGGAGTATCTACTCATTTTTGTTACAGTTTTGCTTAGGCTTTTCGTAGTTTGTTATTGTTACAAATGAAGATTTTCCTTTCTACTTTCCAGCTTGTAATTGTTGGCACGTAGAAAAACATTTTTCTAGGATATTATTTCTGTTTCCAACCACCTAATTTACAATCTCATTTTTAACACAGCATTTGCAATTGTTTTTAGTTTCTTGTATTAAATTATAACATCTTCAAATAATGACTATGTTTTTAAAAGAATCCTTCTTCCGTTCCAAGTGTTAAAAAATCTTACTCCTAATTTATTTCTTATTAAAATGACCAGAACTCCCAAATTTTCAAATTAAAAAAGTACTCTGCATTCTGGTTTTTGTTTTAGTGAGAATGCCTGCTGTGATCTAAATGTCGAAATCCTAACCCCCCCGCCGGGTGATAGTTTTAGGAGATGGGGCCTTTGGGAGATACTTCAGTCATGAGGAGCCCTCATGATTGAGATAAGTGCCCTTATAAAAGAGACCCCAGAGAGCCGGCTATCTCCTGCCACTTGTGAGAACACAGCAAGAAGGTGCCGTCCATGGGGAAGGAGAAGGGTCGTTCCTTGCCAGACACTGAATCTGCCAGTGCCTTGATCTTGGATTTTGCAGCCTCCAGAACTGAAAGAAATAAGTTTCTGTTGCTTACAAGCTACCCAGTTGATGGTATTTCATTATCACAGCCCAAAGGGACTAAGCAATGCTTTTATTGTTTAAATGTCAAGAATGGCATTCACTGTGATTACAGTAGAATGCTGTTATAATACTCAGTATAAGTACATTGATGGTCCTAGACAGTAGTACTCTGCTCCTGGTTTACCATGAGTTTCCTTGCAGTAATGATGACTGAGTGGTAATTGATTATGCTCAGAATTTATTGAAATGACCATATACTTTCTTTCTTTAAGGAAAATTTCTATTATTTCAATTATTTTTATGTACAGAAAACTCAACAGTGTACATTTAACCCAGTTTCGTTGCAAGTTCTTTAGCCTTTGCCTTTTTGAGCTTGGCAATGCGAGCCACAGACTTGGGACCCAGGACATTGCCTCCGCAGTGACAGCGGATCTCTTTGTATCTGTCGTTGTAATTGGTCCTGACAGTTTCCACCAGCTCAGTCAAAGCTCCTTTGTCTTCCAAGTTGACCTGTGTGAAGGTAACAGCAGTGCCTCTCTTCCTGTGGACTAGACGTCCCAGTCTTACCTTCCCCTTGATAATGCAGTAAGGGCCCCCCATTTTTATGACACAGGGTAGGCAGGAAGACAACCAGCTAGAAGAAAGCACTAGTTGAAGAGCATATTTTGATGAAAAGCAGTAAATTTCAAAGCTAGCGTGGTAGCAACTGCTCTGGATTAAAAAGTTCATGTATCTGCATTTCAAGGTAGATGGCTATATATTTTCTAATGTTTCCTATGGGCTTGATGTGTGATGTTTAGATTTCTCCATAGCAAGCAATTCTCCCATTCTTGGGAGAAATGCTGTTTGGGGAAGGGATTGGTTTGGGCCTCTTCCTTAGAGTGACTTGCTGGGTCACTCTGGCAGAGGCAGGTCTGCACACCTGGGTTGTTGCTTTTTGCACACACATACACCCGCTCCATTTTACACTGCACACCACATAACTTCACCATTTCACGCATCCAGAAACGAAGCCCTCCGAAGGGCTTCTTGCAACGAAGTTGCAAGAAGTGACACAGCTTCCAGGACTGAAACCTTTGGATTATTGGTCCAGTTGATTTGACTGTACCTGAATGGTATTTGATTGCTTGTGTGATCCTGGCTGGGAATATTCTCCTTTCTGAATTTCAGTTTCCCCATATGACTTTATACGCTTCTGTAGATATTCATTCTACAGCCCAGGAGAGTTCCTGGAAAGGACATTAATTTGTCTCTCCCATTTCTCCATGGCCTATGCATTATTGTTTCAAGCCCACCTCCCCCATGGCCCATCTTCCCACAGCCAACTCTGTCCTGAAGGCCGGGTCAAAGGGGTGCTAGGAATTCCAGGTCAGTGATTGGCCTTCTTCTCTTACTCTATGTAGACTCCAGCCTACACTTCCTAGTAGGGAAAGAATAACCGTCTCTAATCTGCAAGGGCTCAGGGTCTCAGGTACAGACAGGAACTGGCCCCTGCCAGGGGCATTCCCAGGGCATTGCTCCTGGGATGGACAGAAGGACCAATGGGCAGGCCAGTAAAGCCAACATTCAGAGGGTCCTCCTGCCGGCGGGGGCTTCCTGGAGGAGGTGGCCCTCAAGAGGGGCTTGCTTTAGATAGTGGGGGTGGTGTTGTATTCCGTGCAGAGGGACCCTCCCGTTGTGTGGGTGAACCACACAGTCCCTTTCATGTGGTATGTCTGTGCAATCACTCCATCTTGATGCCTAGCCCCACCCCAAACGTTCTCAAGCCAAAGCAAACAGAAGCAAGGACCAGGTTTAAACTTCAGAGGCTGCCTTCAGATTCTGTTTACTTGCCCACATTTGCATCCTTTCAGGACCCACCAAGGCCAGTTTCTTTTTCAGACTTTGCACTGGGCTATGAGGGCAGGGGGTGGCGGGGAGGGCAACGTCCCATACCATCTAAATCTGGGAAAGGGGGCAGAAAGGGGTGGGGGTGCTCTAAAGTAAGGCGGAGCTGGAGGGCTCTGAAGAAATGCCCCGGGACGCCCCCTCCCCGAGGCAGCCTGGAGTGGACGCGCGCACGGCTGCCCGGCTTCCTGGGGAGGACGAGACCCCGGCGGTGCCCAAGGCTGGCGCGCCCTCTCGCGGCCACGCCGGCACGCCGCCGGCTGAGACCCTCGCGTCCTTGGGGGGCCTGTGGTTCGTTCCAGCCTAGGCCCGGCGGGCAGCAGCCCACGCTAGGTGCTTGAGGGCAGTGAGGAAGATGACCTATCCGCAGAGATCGTCTCTACTGCAATCCTTCTGCAGTCCACGCTGGGAGATGCCCTGGTCAGCGCGACAGAGTCCTCCGCACTCTCCGGCATCCCTTGTCCAAGCATTTCTCCTCTGCCCCCTGCTCTCAGCTACCCCTCCCCCTGCCTCTTTCGCTGGACTCCTTGAATTAACTCAGCCTCGTAGGGGTGTTGATGACTGCTTATTCCTCCCTTTACCTCTAGCCCAGCAGGATATTTCACAACTTTCCTGCAAAGCAGCGGTCAATATCTGAGTTAGCTCCATGGCTTGCTGACTCTCTTCATGCCTCACGTTCCTCATCTGTGAAATGGGGATAACTGTAGTATCTGTGTCCTGATTTGGTGTAAGGTTAGTGAGTTACTACGTGGTTAGCAGACCCGTGCCTCCACACATTCCCTCAGTGCCCCTCCTTCTTCCTGTGCCCCTGTTCTCTGTGTGCCTTCTCTGTGGGGACACAGCCAGCATCTGCTTCTCTGTTGCGGGGCTGTTCCAGGCTGCTGGAACCTCCCTGGACATGCAGCAGCCTGGAAGTGCCAGGGATCAGGGGACGTATTTACCTATATTAGAGTTCCCCAGAGAAACAGAATTTATGGGATTACATATATATGTAGGTATGCATATGTGGTGTGTATAGGTATATGTATGTATGTGTGCAGACATATATATGTGTGTACATATATATATATGAGAGAGAGAAATCGATTTATTATAAGGAATTGCCTCATGATCATGAAGGCTGGCAGGTACCAAGATCTGCATTGGCAAGTCAGTGACCCAGGAGAGCCCATGGTTGGTTCCGGTCCTAAAGCTGGCAGGCTCAAGAGCCAATGTTTCAGTCCAAGTCCAAAGGCAAGAAAAAAGTTAATGTCCCAACTTGAAGGTAGTCGGGAAGGAGAAATTCCCTCTTAATTGGAGAAGGTTCCATGTTATTGTTCTGTTCAGGCCTTCAGCTGATTGGACAAGGCCCACCCACATTGCAGAGGTCAGTCGGCCTGATTTAAACATTAACCTCATCTAAAAACACCCTATCACAGAAACACTCAGAATAATGTTTGACTAAACATCTAGACATCCTGTGGCCTAGCCAACTTGGCACATAAAAGTAACCATTACAGCCCCCGAGGGCAGATCTTCACCATGACAGGCGATTGGGGGAGCAGGAGCCAGGCTGCAGCTCCACTCTGCACTCTCGCCTGGCCTCCTTCCCTTTCCAGTCCCAATTCCTCACACCCTGGGTTTTTCTGAGGCCTGCCTCTTAGTAAATTACTTTCAAATGAATCTTCCTTCCAGGGTAGGAGTCTGCTCCATGACATTCCTAATTCACCGCCCTTCTGCCTGGGCTGGATGGATCCCCTCCTGGTGCTGGAACAGTCTGTTCCTTCCACAGGATGCTCAGAATATAAACCATCATTGCAAAGACTGAGGTTTCACAGGGAAGATTCCTTCAAACTCATGGTAAAACATAAACTGCAAACTTGAGAAATTGCATATTTTTCTGCCCATCTCCCGGGCACACAGAAGGACACAAAGAGCTTGGCTCCTCACATCACCTTCACGGGCACTTCATTGTGGATAACATGAGAACAAGTCTGGCTGATAACAGGATTACATGGTTGTAATTAGATGGATAATTATTCACATGTGGAAGGGTTTGATGACTAGGTCTTGGAGAATAGGAGCTATAAATACACATATTAGAAAAGGATTCCATTAAAAGTGAACCTAAAGCAATTGAAAAGCTTCTGATGGATCATTAGCCATTTAAAGAGATTTTTGTTGCTAACGTGTCGCTCTTTCCACCTTTTACTAAAAGGCTTCAAAAAGGAAATCAAAGCATATGAAATTATAATGTAAATCAATGGGGAGAAGGCATTAAATTTATAAAAGTTCAGTTTTTATGCAGCTTCTCCTAAACCCAGCTGTGGTACAAGTTGAAGTCTATTTTGTGTACATCGGCATAAAATGAGGTCCACTATAAACACGTATTTTAGTAAATTCAATGTGATGTAGATGCGGTTGAATACAGCAGCCAGTTACTTAAATTCAATGGGTTGAATTTCCCAGAAGAAAATCTGAAATGAACATGAAATGCTGTTACTCTGCTTCAACTAACCACTCTTTAGATGAAAGTGTGCCAGGTGGAATGTCATTTCATATCACGTTTTCATATATCCAACTGATCTTCCACATTTGCCCAGCCCTGCCCTGGTAAGCAATACACAGATATGAAACACCCAATGTTTACTTATTAATTCATGCCACGGACAGCTATCAGTTGCATTAAATAGGCTTTCCAGTCCAGGAATCAGCCAAGAACAAGACTCTTGAGCATAAAAGGATAAATTTAAAACACAGACTTATTTTAAGAAGGCAGATTTGTTATGGCACACATATATATGTAATGTCTGTGTATTTTACACCATAAAGACATACATCGAATGTAGCAGTAATTATCTGTGGTATAATTGTTAAAAATTATAGAATAGCATAAACAATAATTTTATGTACTCTCATGCATCCACCATCAAGCTTAAAAATGTAACACCTGAAACCAATGCAGTTGAAAACCCTGTGAATGCCTCCAGGACCATGTCTGCCTGCCCATGTTCCCTAGAGCTGAACATTATCTTGAATTTGCTATTCACCATTCCCATGCATTCATTTAAACATTCACCACAAAAGTATGCATCCTCAAACACTGTCTAGTATGTTTAAACTTTAATAAATGAATGCATCATAACACATGAAATCCTCTGCAAGTTGCCTTTTTGCTTATGTTATGTTTGTGAGATTCTTCTGGTTTTGTTTTTGTTTTTGAGGAGTCTTGCTCTGTCACCCAGGCTGGAGTGCAGTGGTGCCATCTCTGCTAACTACACTGCAACCTCTGCCTCCCAGGTTCAAGCTATTCTCCTGCCTCAGCCTCCTGAGCAGCTGGGATTATAGGTGCACGCCACCATGCCCGGCTAATTTTTGAATTTTTAGTAGAGACGGAGTTTCACCATGTTGGCCAAGCTGGTCTCAAACTCCTGACCTCAGGTGATCCACCCACCTCGGCCTTACAAAGTGCTGGGACTATAGGCATGAGCCACCATGCCTGGCCTGTTTGTGAGATTCTTCTATAGGGATCTGTATAGCTGTAACTCACTCATGTTTATAGCTGTTATTTTATATTGTGTAAGTAATCACAATTCATTTACTCATCATATTCTCCTGTGGGTGGATATTTATTTCTAATTTTTTGCCCTTGTCAACAGTGAGACTATGAAAATCTTTACTTACGTATATGAACCATTTGAAAATAAGTTGCAGAATGTCCTATAATTATTTCCTCATTGTTAGATTCAGATTATACTTTTT